GATTATTCAATGGTTAAGAGCACTGGCTGCTCTTGCAGAGGACCTGGGTTTAGTTCCCAGAATCCCCATGGCAGCTAACAACCATGTGTAACTCCAGTTCCAGGGTATCTGATGCCCTCTTCTGGCCTCTGTGGGCACTGCATGACATGGGCACACATGTAGGAAAAATATTCATACACAGAAAACAAAAATACAATATTAAAAACTATACTATTATCTTTTCTCCTTTCATCAACCCCCCAGTCAAGAATGTTCTGCAATAAGCCCGCTTTCCAGTCTTCATTTACGTTTTTTAAATTTATCATTTTGATGGTGCTGAGTAAAACCATTTCTTTAGTCAGGGAAGACATGAGCTCTACCACTGGGTTGTATCCCATCTGCCATTTGCCATTCACTCTGACAACTCTAGTCTTGACAACCTTAGACATTCTTCCAATTAAACATTTCTCCTACCATGTCTTGAGATCAGCACATCACCAAGTTGGGAGGTTAAAAACTCTTGTAAACCATGCAAGGTCAATTGGTAAAGGTGCAATGGTTTAAGAACCTAGATTGCAGTGGATGCTTGCCTTGTTGAGGTTTATTTTTCTAGACTGTCAAGGAAACACACGATATAGATCATTGTTATATGTGTGCAGGTGTTAATAAATATTCAGTACTCTACCAATATATACGAGGTAATTTTCTTTAAGTTCATTTTTAATTCAATGTATTAAATACTATATTTGTCTTGACTAAAATCTAATTTCAATCTGGTTTAAATACATTCTTAGAAGAATTTAAAACTTAGATAATTTCAAATTAGCTGTGTGTGAGAGCTCTCTGATATTTAACCAGATCATTTAAAACACTTTGTTCCAAACACCCTGCAATGATGAATACTTACCCACTCAACCCCCACTTAAAAGAAATAAAAGAAGTTACTGCCTCCTGTTTAATTTTGCATGTCATTGAACAACTATTTAAGGAGCCTCTGAAATAATTCAAGCATTCATTGAAATGTAAATTTCCTAACCACAGGAAATTCACATTCTCCTGATGGACAGGATAAGTATACCAAGACTCAAAACAGCCCATGCTGCCTCATAGACAAGGAACAGTGTTTCTGAAAGCAGCGGCTACAAAGGCAAACGTGGCACGTGCTTGAAACAAAACGAAACAACCTTGGGAAGGGCCAAGAAAAGACCCCGTGGGAAAATGGTGTGTGGGCCAATCTGAGCTGAACACTGGTTGGTGCTGGTGAAGAACAAGGCAAAAAAACTGAAAAAAGGGTTCAGTACATGCCAATGACTCTGGGTGAAAGGTTGCTTTGAATCTTCAAACACTTTTTGTAATGTTGTGTTCCATTTAAAGCACTTTAATCTAGACTGTCAGCCTGAATGCAAAAACATTCTTCCATGTCCCTGTGAGACAAAATTCTACCCTAAGCCAAGAGCCTAGCATTCCAGAAACTTAAACTGTGGCACAGAGATCCAAATTCAATTCATCAACACCATCTGCATTACCAGCTGTTCATCTCCCAGAGTTTCTTCATTTTTCAAGTACCACATGTTCACAAGACAATAAAGTATTAATGAAAACGCCCCTGGTGCTTTGAAGCCTTACATGTCAACACTAGCCCCAGTGTTCTCCAACAATGTTGTTTATGCCACTGGAGAAGCAAGTTGTATTTTTTATTGGGTTATGACTCAGCTATTTAGTCATTTTAGCAGTTTCTTTATCTTAAAATCTAAAACACACCCCAGAGGAACAGTATGTGTTTCTGTGAGTTTAACAAGATGGTCACATTCAGAAAGTTCTGTATTACTCGGCCAGTCAACACCAGCCACATCACAGCTCCAGAGAGCCATGCTTCTCCTCTACTTTCCTAAGCTTCGTTTGCAGATTTGAAGTCCCATTCATCCATTTATTCATTCACAGTTTTGCATAATGCTCATTAATTACTTAATAATAACAAAGCACAAGGAAAAAGTCTTTGCAATATTGTCAACTATACAAAGATTTTTTAAAATTCTTTTATTTATTGTTTTATTCAATTAGCCAAACGTTGTCTTCTTTTACTGTTTTATTATAAATAATCTGTAAAGATACATGAAATATTGCAAATAAAGATTTTAAAGCACAGATTGGTAAATAGGGTTATGGTTTTATATTAAATTCCTCCTATAGGGTCGTATGTTGAAAGTTTGGTTCCCTAACTGATGGTGGTATTGGGAAGTGGGAGAATATTTAGGAAGAATTGGAGCCTAATGAAAAAAAGTTATTTCAGTAGGGATCAGAAATAAGGAGGATATATGAATTCTAGCCCCTTCCTCTTTTTTTTTATTATTAATGTTTTTAATACCAAATTTATAATTTTGTTAAAACTTCATAAAGTCACATAAATAACATAGGTAATATTGTATTTAGTTAGATAAATAATTTATGTTAAGATTCAGAGAGCAGGAAAGAGAGCAGAGTCCTGAGAGAAACCAAAACCAGACATTCAACAGATCAAAACTGCATTTATTCAGCACAGCGAGAGGTAGCAACCTTCCCATGGGATGGAAGCTACTGCATCAAGTGAGGGGTTGTTGGGGATTATATAGGATACAACTGTGCCTACCCTTGGGTCAGGGGTACTCTTGAGAAATTTAGGGTCTTCTCCTTCCAGGGACAATTTATTCGAGTTTATCTTAAGAAACAGGCCTGAGATCTGGATGCAACTACCTGTTAACAGTGGGTGCAGCAGTGAGACATCTGTCTGGGGAACTTCCTGCCTCTATTAATTTAGGTTAGAAAATTAATTTAACTCGGGCTGGGGAGATGGCTGTCAGTAAAGCACTTGCCTGGTAAGCACAAGGACCAGAGTTCAATTCCCAAAAGCCATGTAAAAATGCTAGGTATGGGGATGGAGACAGGGTCTGGCACTTAAGAGGTCCTACTCCCCCTTTCAGAGGGCCATAGTTCAGGTTCCAGCACCTTGCTGGGCAGCTCTGAACTGCCTATAAATCCAGGGCTAGGGGAATCTAGCACCATCTTCTAAACTTCACAGGAAATTACACTCATGTGCACATAACCCCCATATAGACACACATGTACGCACCTAATTAAACTATAAATAATTAAGTGCATGTTTCAAAAAATGCCAAACATGGTAGTGCATGCATGTGATCCCAGTGCTGGAGAGGCAAAGTCAAAGGGATTATGGAGCTCACTGGCCGGCCAGCCCAAACTACTGGTGAGCTCCAAGCCAATGAGAAGTTAACTTTCAATGGGGGCAGACAACACTCCTGAGGGTAGCACTTGGGTCCTCTGCTCTCCACATACACATGAATGTGTGCACTAACACACATAGGAAAACATTCATAAAAATATTAAATTTTACACCCGGCCTAGTGGCACCAGACTTTAATCTCAGAACTGGAAAGGTAAGGTCAGCCTGGCTTACATAGTGAGTTCTGGGCAGACTGGAGCTACAGGAGACCCTGTCAAAAACAAACATATAAACAAACAACAACAAATTTAAAAATGAAAATTTAAAATTAATTTAACTACAACTAACTTCATTTAGAGATAAGAGTTTTAAAGAGATGATTACATTCAGACAAAACCCTTGATGTAGGTCATGCTCTAATCTGGCAGGTAAAGTTATACTATACCAAGGGAAATAGGAGAAGGGATTCCCGGGATGTACATACATAGAAAGTCCTGTCAATACACAAGAAGGCAGTCATCCGCAAGCGCAGAGAAAGGCCTCCTACGAAACCAAACCTGCCGGTTCTTTGATTTTGTACTTATAGCCTCCAAAATTGTCAAAAGATAAGTTTTTGTTGCATAAGTCATTCAGTCTATGGTATTTTGTTATGGCAGCTCTTGAAAACTAATATAGAAAATAATCGAGAGAACAGGCACTAACTGTACCTGGCATACTGCTTCAGAAATACATAGCACACTATAACCCAAACTACGGGGTTGTTAAGTCATTCGTGAGAAAGCTCTCTAGCCTAGGAATCTCTTGACTAAACAGGTGACTTGGAGAATGTCAAGAACATTTAAATTGCTCTTTTAATCGATATCATTAATAAATCTAGCTTCTAATACTACTAACACAGGTTTAACTTTAAAGAAAGACATTATCGAGATAATTTAGGGCATCTACCCAGACATCTCACATTTGAATTCTAGTTCTGCATGTGATGTTGAGCAAGTCGGTCAGCATCTTTACGCTGGGGTGCTTCACCAGTCATGTGACATGACTAATTTCAGTGATTTTTATAGTATTAAACAAATTACTATGTCCCAAAAGCACAGTGATCCCTGTTACTATCAGCTATAATTATTTTTATTTTTATTGTCATGGTGGATAGACATTATTCACAGTTCTTTGTTCAATCAAATTTTACAGACATCCTTAGATGGCTTAGAAACATAGTGAAGTAAATTAATCTACTCAAGATTACATTAAGTCATTGATCCAGAATTTACCTGGATTAGTTTATCATCACAGGACCATAGTTATGAATTTTTTGTGCTCAATAGAAATAAAGTCTTTATTTATAGTTCATAGCAAATTATTCATATTTACAAGCTTCATATTAACCAAATTATTTCACTAAGTGACAAATTTGTGAATTAATACTTTCCATTTCATTTCTTACAATAGTCAGATGTGTACAATGATATTAGACAGTGGAACAAAACATTAAACATTCCAATTTTCCATTAGAAAACATGTCTTACCATATTTACTTATTAAGATGAGTAACAGATAAACATTCAATGCTAAACATTTGATTTAGGAAGCAGATGAAGTTAACAGAAATAGATACATCTTTACTATATAGTAAGAATATTTTTATCATAGATATTTTTTCCTTGTCATTGATTCTCCAAAATGTATTAAAAATAGATATACCTGAATTCCAAACTGACTAATGCATGTTAAAAGAAAGATTGTTGCATTATTCCACTTGACAAATTCTTCAGTCCACAGTTTTAAAATTAATGGAAGAAGGCATTTAAATAATCTTTGTTTTGCATACATCTGGTTGAAGTGATACTGCTTCTCCTTCTTTAAGCACAAAATTATACTTACAAAGTGGTGGTCTTTGAAAGAGAAAAAGAGAGAGAAGTAGATATTAGTAAAAGAGTGAATTTGATTTCCTTGTCATTCAAACATTAGAAGAGTCTATGCCTATAACTAGCTAGTACTAGATAGCAGCAGGGTTGGAAGTTCTGTAGAACTGGTTCCACTCATCTCACATCTGTGTAGGGATGAAAGAGATACTGATTGTGAGAAAGACAAACACCCCCATTTCCATTTCTGTCTCTGCTACTTCACAGGAATACTTACACTGAGTGGGAGATACAGTACTACTGAGAACAGTTCAATCCTGAGTTAAACAAACAAACAAAAAAATGGGTCTGAAATACTCCTTTCATCATGACTGCCATCAAGATGAGAGAGCAAAGTATAAGATTAATTTTTTTTTAAATTCTGTAATCAACTCCCTTTTGAAATGCATTGAAATGGAATGAACACCACATACTACATTGTCATCTGAGTGAGACTGTGTGTATAGTATTTGAGATGGCTAACAGATCAAATCACTGCAGTTAATTGAGGTCTTGTCCAGTTATTTGTTTGCCTGTTAGTGTCTTGAGAAACTTGCAAGAAAAAAAGCAATCAGATGAAATAACAAAAGCTTGGTAAAATCTCGGGAATGAAGAAGAAGAACACATGGTAGGAACCACTGTGCATATTTACTATTATTACTAGTAACTAAGTCAAGGAAAGGAGTCAGGTCAACTGCACTGGTGACAGCATACTTTTACATGACAGACACTACCCTACCTCCAGAGTCACATTGCTCCTAGTCTCCAGCTTCATGGGCATACTACTGAACATGCTTATTTAAAAAACAAATGAACAAGGTCTTGCTATCTAGCTCAAGCCAGCCTTGAACTCTCATTAATTCTTATACTTGAGCCCCCAATGCAGAGACTACAAGCATGAACCACAAAACCAAGCTATCAATATATTCTTAAAATATTTAAGAGTATTCTCAGTTTTATTTATTCAATACATAAAATTTAACTTTTACAGCTGGACACACATAATAATTTATAAAATCTAGACATTGATCATTATGAAAATTAACAGAAGATACTACAGTATTTCCCATGTGAAATAGAAGCAGCTTAAAATTTTCATTTTAACAGGCGGTAAATGTGAAGTGATGCATCAGTATTCTAAAATTTTTCAAACGTTGGCAGAAACAGCTTTTATTAAGTCATTAGAAATCAAAATCTATTCAACTATTTTTAGAATAGCTGCAAATAAATTAAGAAGACACAAGTCATTCTTCTCTATTATTGAGAAGTTAATTTATTCTTCCTTAAACAAGTATGTAAATGCTTATATCAATTCTTCATCTATTTTACTGTATTTATGACTGAATGTGCATTTAATATGCTGAACTGCTTGTATTTGTCTCATCATCACTAAACTCTTCATATTAAGGTGTGTCGGACCTATAAATTAATAAATTACCTCAAGTACGTAGTAACTGCCCTGTTTGCAGATATAAAATGCAGAAGTAAAGCAAGGGTACTTTTATTTATTTTATAGACTAGAACAGAAACTTATTACCATGGATTTATATTATTAACATAGTAAACACATGTCATATTATAGAGTTAGCATTTTTTAAATCCTGTGCCAGCATCATAAGAACACTTTAAGTAGTATGTAATGCTTTCCAAATAAATCAACAAAGATTATTAGAAAGATTCATTTTATTTCTTTAGACATTGTCTATAGTCATCTTTTTTTATTGTCACGACACTTGGTTTGACAACTTACATTCTATATAATCAATAGATTATTTGGTCTGACAATAAAAAATAAAAGACTATAATTTCAAAGAAAATGTATATTTTTACAATTATCCTGAGAAGAAATAATAATTTTTCTTTATAAATTTCAATATGTAAACTGAATATTGCATTTCTAGTGTTTTGCTTCATACATATTCACACAATTGAAAAATCACAGTATAAAAATTAATAAAAATGATTAAATAAATCCAATGATAATCACTAAAAGTTTGCTCCATGTATATCACATCAAATGTAAGAAATAAACGCTTCCTTATTTTAAAAATCTCTCTCAGGCTTTTGCATGACATATCACATCTATTTATGTAGCGTTCTTTTTTAACATGACTTACAGAAAGATTTTAAGCACTAACACAAGACAGAAATACTACCTGGTCCTATCTGCCAGACAGGAAGAAAATGGCAACTTAAAGGTCACTAGCTAAAACACAGGAGTCACTTAAATCGTGGAAGTAAACAAAATTAGATTAAGTACTTCCCCAGGTCTGGCTGGTATATTATGAAAGCAGACCTTCTGAAGAACACCTGTTGGCAAGTAAATTAAAAGCTTCTTGAAGATTAGCTTCAAAAATATTTATAGAAGTACAAATATATAGAGCACCCAACATGATAAAATACATGATGTCTGGAATCTAGTAATAATGACCAAACTGAGAAATGGGCAGAGCTCAGTGCATGAGCTCTTGCAAAACATGATCAAAGACCAAGATTCAGTTTTCAGCACCAACAGCAAACAAGAAAATAAACAGATAAATCACTAAGTCAGTAATCAAGCACAGGGGCCATTGCTTTTTTCCTTCCCATTTTTTTAACCTGCTGGCAAAGAAGCAGAAGATGAAACCAGATGAAGAGAAAAGTTAACCAATTGAAACTAATCTACAACTTTAATACAAATGTGGTAATCAACACATAGTCATATCACAGTAGTTAATATACATGTGCTTCATGTGTTCACAAAATAAATACAGACATAAACTATAAAATGTACAAATCAAACTTCTAGAGATGAAAAAAATATATGAATTGAAAATTCAGTGCACAGGATTAGTAGCAGATTAGACACTACCGATTGAAACACGAGTGAACTACAAAGCAGCAACAGAAACCATCCAAAATGAAATGCAGACAGAAAGTGGAATTAGGAAAATTAAGAAAGCATCAGTGAGCTCTGGTACTTTAAACAGTGTAATAAACTGGTGATAAGCTTGTAATCAAAGAAGACAAAATGTGGCACAGAAAGTAATGCTTCAAAACTTAGTTGAAACTTTAGATAACATTTTATAAAAAGTAAAACCCCAAAGTAAAAATACACAGGTCCAAAGAAGGTCAATGAACTTCAAACATAATAAGTCATGAAATTTCTTCATATAAGAATCTATGGGTTTTTTAAATTTTTCAATGCTTTAAAGATATTGCTGTACACTTTTTTAAATCATGAATCAATCCTAATGATAATAGGAGAAAAAAGAAGAAAATCAGTACACACATTGTAATCTAATTGTTCCAAGTCAATAAAAGAAACATTTTTAATTTAGATGAAGAAAATAAGTTACTTTCAGGGAAAAGAAAGAAAAGATAGCAATAGATTTTGCAATTACAATAGGTAATATAGCAACCTACACAAATACTTGTAGGTTTAACACTAGAATTCTATACTCAGAAAACATCTTTCAGAATAAAGACCACTTAAGGAATTTTAAAATTGAATTCAATAATAATGCACCCACAATACAAAAGACATCAATGAAACCACTTTAGAAACTAAATTAAACAGCTGAAATCATGCATGTATCTACAAAGGGGTCTGAAGAGTGTGCTGAGGGTATGGCACTGTCAGTAAAATGCTTCTTATGTAAACATTGCTTGGATCTCTGCACTTATGTAAAACCCAAGTACAATGGTGCCTGCCTTTTAACAGGCCACAGGCACAGGCTGATTCCTATAATACTAACATTATTAGTTAGCTCCACATTCAATGAAAGACCCTGTCTCTAAAAAAAAAATGTAGAAAATGACTGAGGAAAACATTTGACATTGATTTCTGACTTCTACATGCATGCAAAAAAATGAGCACACATACCTATATATACACATGCATACACACATAAATCTCCATACATACCCCACAACAAGTATCAAATATCAAATTAAATATTACAACATAAACTCCAAAGAATTCACTCAAAAATCCATAAAGAAGAAAAAATGGAATTACGCATTCCTTAATTTGTCCAGAAGATAGATGGTGAGAACAATTGAGCAGAGAACCAATAGTATATAGAGAAAACAAAGGAAGAAAGCACAGAATTAACCAGGACATCAGTAACATATTGGGTGACATGTGTGACTACCCCAATTCAAGTCAGAGACCACGGCATTATTATCATCTGAGAAACGCAAAATGGCAGTGAGCTATTTCTGCATACCTATTAAAAAGCCAAAATGAAAAGCAGGCAATCACACTACAAAAACAATAGTGAAGGGGTATTTTATGTTCAGAAGAGCAATAAGCACCCATATACTGCTGGAAGAAATGGAAAAGGGGTCTGACTGCATTTATAAAGTTGAATACACACCGTGTGACCCAGCAATCTTACTTATAGTTGTCTATCCAAGACAAGTGACAATTTATGGACAGATAAAAACCCACTGCAAATACTTAAGTGGATTTACTCATAGAAAGGAAAACTGCGAACAAACTCCATGTCTTCGAACTGTTGAATGGATGGGCAAACTGCGGCGTATCTATAAAATAGAATACTATTCATCAATAATTTTCATTGATATAAACATCAGCAAAAATGAATTTTAAGTTTATGTGGCTAAGTGAAAATTTCTGCACCTAAAATGCCATAGAACTCTGTTCATATATTAGCTAGAAAAGGCAAAGCCAGCCACAGTGGGTGGGGAGTGTAGCTAAAACCCAAGAAACAGTACCAGAAAACTTTAATGAATGGGATGAATGGGATGCCCTGAATTTTGTTTGTGATAGTAGCTGTACATTTCCACACTTGGAAAAAGCATAGAAGTATAAAAGAAAAAGAAAATGTAAGTTACTGGCAATGTCTTTAGCTCAAGATTTTTCCAGAAGTCATACCAGGACACCCTTCTCATGTATATTTCTCTTAGCCCCTTAATTCTAAGGTTATGCTCTACTAGAAGTTCCTAGGAGGAGGCTCTACATAGTGTGTTATAAACTAGCTCTAGAGACAATTACTCATCAAGTGCATGCAGTTTAAGCTGGACCATAAAGTGTCACATTATTTTGTAACTCGAATTTCTAGCACTTTATCAGTGCTAATTCTCATTAGTTGCACATTATCTGTATGGGCATAACTAAACAGGAAAAGCTACTAGATGCTTACACCAAACTATCTAGGTAATTAAACTTAAAACATAAGTTCAACCAAGCATCTGTTAATATCTCCATCCAGCAGAACTTTTCAAAACAAGTTTAAGAACTTGATTAAACATTCAGAAAATGTACTTTAGATTTCTATTTTCTGTGAGTAGAAACAATTACATCCAAATTTCATAAATCCAATAAATTCATATAAAATATCTACAGTCTAAGCTTTGAGAAAAAACACAAACCTCCATGTTTCATTCCATGAAATGTATAATTATAGCTTTATTCTATTTCTTATTTAATTTATGAATTAATTTATGCAGCCATTCTCTGCATAAAACATGAGCTGAGAAGATATTAGTACAAATAATAGAACATGGGTTTTTCTTTCCCATTTCTGCTCCCCCTCTTATAAGAGACTTTAAACAGACAATGCACTCAAAGAGAGGTGATTGCCTGTGTGTTCACCAACATCCTCAATAAAAATGTTCTCATCATGGATGAGTTGGAAGATTTAAAAATATTCCTATTCCTTAATGCTCCTTCTTTAAATAATAACAAAATTGTTTAAAATATAAGTAGCTATCTGTACATATTAAGATATTCACTATTTCTTGTAAGTAAATATTGTGAAAAACTGAATCAAAACTAGAGGGAATGCCAGGCATGGTGGTGCACACCTTTAATCCCAGCACTCGGGAGGCAGAGGCAGGCGGATCTCTATGAATTCAAAGCCAGCCTGACCTACATAGTGAGTTCTAGGACAGATGGGGCTACAGGGAGACCCTGTCTCAAAAAAACCAAAAAAAAAAAAAAAAAAAACCTAGAAGGGGAGGAAAAGTATTCATTTCTCAAAATATAAAGTAAAATATAGCTATTAACTTAAAGATAGAAAATGTTGCTTATAACCCTGTTCATAATACAGTACAACCCTGGGCAACATTGTATTATTGTTATTATCTATGTGAACAGTAACCTGGAAGCCACTGCGATAAGTAGGCTATATGATTACAAAGGGACCTTGTTTCTATTACGATGTAGATAGTGAAATGTGTGATTCCTTTACAGCATGTGTATTATAACTAAGTATTAACAGCCATGCCTTAGCTGAAGCATTATATAAGAATTAGATTTTGAAAATGTTCTGCAATAAGTTATTGACTATATCAATTAATGGAAAATGTTTGTTATTGAAAAAAAAAACACAAATTCCCAAATCAGGTGTAGATGGAAAATACAATTTTGTCTTTCAAGGTAGGATACCCCCACCCAAACCATGAATTTTGGTAGGAACGGTGAAACTAAAAGTTCTTGCTGAAAATAGCTATCTAGTTTATTTTTCATACATTTCAACCAGAGGTAAAGAACAATGAAAGTTGCCTGTTGTCGTTATAATGACATTTCACTGCTGTTGGAATGTAGGACTTTTATCATACTGAAATGTATAAAATGTTTTGCCTTTTATAAATAATAGTTTTCTCAATAGTTCTCTGTAGCCATAAACTTCATCTAAATGTATATTCTCGGGTTGGGGAGATGGTTTAGTCTATAAAATTCTTGCAACACAATCTTGGGAATCTGAATTCATTACCCAGCACTTACATAACCCAGGCCAACCGCATGCGCTTGTAATTCCAACAATGGGAAAGTGCAGAGAAGCCATCCAGGGCTTCATAAACCTGTCAGCCCAGCCTGATTGGCAAGTGCCAGGCCAATGAGAGACCTTGTCTCAAAATGACAAGGTGGATGACATCTGAAACCTGACATCAAATGTTGATCTCTGGCCTATGCACATACACACATGCATACCGTACACACACCCAGGCATACGCACACACACACACACACACACACTCACACACACACACACACACACACTTATTATTTTTGTTTTTAATCTTTACAAATCCTTAGCTTCTGCACTGGATTAGAAATTCAAACTTAAATGTAAATAAAATATAAATATATGAGGCTATAAAATGAATTAAAGTAGAGATATCATAGCCAACTAAAGAAAAGAGATTTTGCCAGGCGTGGTGGTGCATGCCTTTAATCCCAGCACTTAGGAGGCAGAGGCCAGCGGATCTCTGTGAGTTCAAGGCCAGCCTGGTCTATGTAGTCAGTTCCAGGCCAGGCCCCACTATAGGGAGACCCTGTCTCAAAAACAGCAACAAAAAAAAAAGAGAGAGAAAAGAGATTTTAAAACATCTACAAATCATTACTTTTATTTTGTGTATATGATGGGGAGTGGGAGATATGTGTGGTATGAGTGTACATATGAGGCCAGAGGATATATGTCTGGTATCTTCCTCTAAGATTATCTACCTTATTCCCTGGAGACAGGGTCTTTCACTAAGCATGGGGATCATTGTTTTTTTATGTTTGTTTGTTTGGTTTGGTTTTTTGCTTATTAGGGCTAATCTGGCTAGCCAGCAAATTCTCCTATGTCCTTTCCTAGAGCAATGAGTCTCTAAGTGCAAACAGCACATCTGACTGTTTACATAGGTGCTAGAGATCAAACTCAGGTCCTTGTGAAGTTTGTACTGTCAAATTAACAAAATCTGGAATCATCTAGAAGATAATCCTCCTAGCATGGCTGTGAGGGATTATCTAGGTTAGGTTAGCATCTGGGCATGCCTATGAGGGAATATCTAGACTTATCTAGTTTAGTTGGGAAAACTCAACTGTGACTTGTACCACTCCATGGATTGGGACTGAATAAAAAGGATAAAGCAAGCTAAGAACACAATGGATTCATTGCTCTCCTCATCCTTGTTACAAACACAGTGTGACAGCTCCATCAAACTCCTGTCACTGTGACTTTCCCACCATGATAAACTGTACCTTTGTTAAGTATTTTGCCGCAGCGATGAGACAAGCAACTAATGAGAAAATTGTATCAAGAAGGAGGACTACTGTGAAACAAATACGACTATGTGATTCTTAGGTCTTTAAAACTGGTTTTCAGGAGGA